AATTCTTAAATAAAGCTTAAAGAAAAATATAACTAAATGTTATATGAAAAAAGAAAATAATATCAAACAAATTAGAAATGAAGTTAGACAGACCACTAAATTAATAGGTTTCGAAAATGTCGATGAAGAAAATGTTTGAATTTTATTTAGAAAAATTATTATAAACGGAGAGAAAGAAAATGAAGATGAAATTAAAAAAGTTTTAAAGAAGAAAAATGTTAAGAACCAATGATTTAAAAATCTCATATAAACAACGAAAACTTTTTTTTGTTAGTGAAAGTGAAACCAATTTATGAAGAAGTATTATTGTTAAGAAATCAATATTAAAAACATTAACTATAAACTCATATTATTATATGTGATTTCATTTTGTATGTAAACTCTTCTTTGTTGAAACATTTTCTTTACGAATAAACGTATTCTGGTTATAGTATATTTACCTCTAATAACAAATATTATAATATTCGTTAATCGAGGTATTACTATAGAAGTTTTTATATAATTCTAGAAAATGTCTACTCCTTATACTTATATAAATAAAAAAGTTTTTCAGACTTCAATAAATGTTACATTTGTGTTGTGATTACATGAATTAACGTATTGATTTCTTCAATAATACATAATTTAGTCAGCTTTCAGCACTTTCGTACGAAGGAACGTATCATCATTCTGATTATAGTATATTTACCTCTAACAACAAACTTTCTCTTAATTAAGTTATATTGTAAAACGCACTCTATTCGTTAATCGAAGTATTATTATAGAAGTTTTTGCTTACTTCTAGAAAATTTCTACTCTTTATAATTAAATTATATAAATCAAAAACTCATTTAGACTTTAATAAATGTTACATTTGTGTTGTGATTACATAAATTAACGTATTGATTTCTTCAACGATATATAATTTAATCAGCTTTCAACAAGTTCTTATGAAGAAACGTATCTTCATTCTGGTTATAGTATACAATGAAACCTCGCTTAATGAGCACCTCGCATAAGAAGCATTTTCTTAACGAGCAAATAAGAGAAATGACTCGATTAACGAGCGACGTTTCGCATAACGAATGACGATAAGAAGAGAAATCCCGAATTGCGCGCAAGCTATACATCATTTTTAAAACTTGTGAATATGTTCCACTATACGAGTAAAAATCCGGAAATTTTGGAGCGGATTAAACGAACGTTCGCTTAATGAAGTTATTTTGTGGAACGTATCCTATTCATTAATAGAGGTATAAATATAGAAGTTTCTGATCACTTCTAGAAAATGTCTACTCTTTATAATTAAATTATATAAATCAAAAACTCATTCAGACTTCAATAATTGTTACAATTTTGTTGCGAGAAATATTGAATTATAAAATTATTGAAAATGTGCGGATGACATGAATTAACGTATTGATCTTCAACGATATATAATTCAATAAGCTCTCAGCACGTTCGTATTTTTTATTTATTTTTTCGTCAGTTATTTAATCCCTTAATTCCTCTGTCCTCAGTTGTATTGTCAATTAAAACGGATGTCTGGAAATTGCTCTATCTACTGAAAAAGGAACAAGTTGGTGAAGGAGAGACTGAAACGGGGAAGGGGTTCAATCCTAGTGGGATGAGGATGCTGCATCTCCAGATCCGAGGAGTTCTAGTATATATAGTATATATATATAGATCCCAGGCGATGCATTTCTTCAAGGAAGTTCGCTCTAAATATCTCGCTGATAGCATTCATGAGCAAGTGGTCTATCTAATTTAAACTTTAATTACCTATCAGCGAGTAGCGAGAGCATGTCCAGATGTTCCCTGATTGGGAAATCCAACCGATAATTTATTATCGCCTAATAGAAACTTGATAGCCCCATCGAACCCTTTCAAAGCCCTTCCACATCCTCTCTCTCTCTCTTCCCCTTTCCCACTCATTATTTACATCTCTCTCACTCTTATATATCCATACATTATCACGCAATTTAAATACCTATCCCTATTCGGTATTTGCGCAGATTGCCGGAAATATTAATTGATTTAATTGTTTCTCGTCGATTCAGGATGATTTACTGTACCTAATTGCGTATCCGAAGGCCATAACGGCATCGGATACGAACTGCAATTGATTCTCGAACACTGTGTTCTGTTTGGTCAGCTTTTCTGTTCCGGTGCAGAGTTTCGTGTACTTCTGGTTGTACGGAGTTCGTGAACTGTTCGGGTATCTGCATTGGAAATGGTGTTCCCAAAATTCTGAAAAAAAAAAACAAGACAAAAATCATTAGTAATGTGGAATTAATAAACTTTAATACAATACGCACTCGTGTATTATAAATTACATAAATTATTAACTTTAAGTTTAAAAAAAAATAAATTCTTATATAACACACACATATTTTTTTTTAAATAATTTCTTCTAAACTTATGTAATTACTTTCGACATTTATTTTTTACTTTTTTTTAACCGTGTAAAAGCGAAAACGTGTAAAAAAGTACCGTGTATACGATTGATAGATTATTTTTGACAGTTATTTTTTACTTTTTTTTAACCGAAAAAACGTATAAAAGAAAGATTTTCTTGACAATTGGATGAATTATTAAATTTGACTTCAAGTTTTAGTAAAAAAATAAATTCAAACGCATACAAATAAATATTTTTTTATTTTCTTCTAAATTGTATAAATGATTAACAAATAACATTCAGCTTTTTATTTAATAAACAGAAACAATTAGATCTTCTTGTATTTGTAAATTATTTGTTTATACAATAAATTTTATTTAGATTACAAAAATGTTTCAACAGTAAAATCATGTAAAATCTGGGGTACAATTCGCACCCCATTTGTTTACACTCTAAAATTAGTACAATTTTATCTATTGTACATTAAATTTATAACATATTATATCTATTATACATTATTTATAACTTAACAATTCTTCGGTATATTGTATAACAATACCTCGCATAATGCGGCTTTGATCAGTGCGGATTCACTATACTACGGTTTGAGAGAAACTAAATTTGAATTGAAAAAATTAAATTTTAAACAAACAGTATGGATACACTGCGGACAAATGCGTCTCTTCCTTAACTTTTTTCATAATGATAATTTTTATATGTGTTCTCTACGTGTGGCTCTTTATAAAATATAAAAAACCGGATTGCGGCTCTTTTTGACTTGAACTGTGCTATACAGTCAAGTCTTTTTGTGCTGCTTATTTGTATGCTGTCTTAAAGTCTTCGATTAATCAGGTTTCAAACAGTGCGGGTATCGGATCCGATTATCCGCACTATGCGAGGTATTCCTACACTTAACTTAGAATTTATTATATCATTTCAATTGCTTTACAAATATTTTATTATAAATATTATTAAATATATATTAAGTAATAAACAAATTAAATTTAAGTGAGCACGTCTATTACTAATTGGAATGTTATTTATTTTCATTAAGGATACGTATGTAAAACAAGTTTCTGACTTTGATATTCTCTCAATTGAGGTCGACTTTGATGTACTTTTAACGTGTATTTGGCGCACATTTAAATCAAATTAACGTCATTCTGTTTTAACTATGTTCATTACATCGTTTCGTTTGTATTATATTATCTTATATCATTAATTTTACAGATTGTAACTATAAAAGTAAATATTTTCATTAATGATATTCTAATTAGTTTTATTTTATTTTCTTGACCCCTTTACTGCGAAGAACGAGTATGTCTCGTCATGAAAGTGTATTTCCATGTACGAATGACGAATGTGTCAAAAATAACAATTTTGCTTTGCTGGACTATTTCAAACTTTTTTTAGATGATGATTTGATGAATTGTTTTGTAATAGAAACAGATATGATGAACAATGGCAGACAAATAATGCTACTCAATTAACAAAGAAAAAAATGCAGGGTACGTAAATGGGTACATGTTACCAAGTCGGAAATGTTCAATTTTGTTGGTCTGACATTGCTTATGGGAATAATCAAAAAGCCAACCTCCTGCTTTTGGTCATCGATATCAGTTGATTTTAAAAATTTGCCCAATGTGCAAATTATGATGATGCACCAGATCCTCATGATAAGAATTGTGATAGACTATTCAAGATTCGTCCATTGATTGATGATTTGAATGAGAAATTCTGCAGATTTTATACACCAGATCAAGTTGTTGCCTTGGATGAATTTCTTATGCTTTGAAAAGGCAGATTGCTGTTCAAACAGAGAAATTGACAATTTATATGATGATTCCATTATTCCATTATTGAATAGTGGACAAATGAATTTATTTTTCAAAAGTTTAATAAGTCATCAAAATGGGCATATAAAAAAAATCTAATAAGTTGTTAGTATTTATAATTATAATTAAAGTGACAGAAATTAGTTAACGCAACAACTGTTGTTTTTTCACCAATTATTTTGTTCTTTATTTTCATTACAAAAAATGTTTTTTCTACAGAAAAACGTAAACTAAACCGAGTTAACTCGGACAATAAAAAAATGATAAACATAACAATGTTTTAGTCAATGTTTCTGTAGGATAAAATCCATTCGCACGATGATATTTATACATCACGTTAACTCGGTTAAGTTTCGACAAAACTGTATGTACATCCACACTACATTTTATATGTGAAGTTTGATAAAAAATTAAAAAAATATGTTTTGAAAATTTCAAAACAAACTAAATTTTACTTGTGAAAAACAAAAATAAAATCTCTTTTTGTTTTGATTAATTCAATTCGGTATTAAAGGCTTCGATTAGTGCTGTTTCAAACAGTGCGTAATATTGACAGAACCGACTATTACAATATTGCACTTATTACAATATTATTTATTTACTGTAATTATATCATTTAATCAAGTTAAATTACATATTATTCAGTATGTAAATAAAATTTTATTGTAATCATAAAAAATATATTTATTTTAATTTTATGACATTGATAACATTATAATAATATCTTACAATAAATAAGTTTTGCATAACTTTTTTTCAGGAATCTCGGAAACTACAATTCACTTTTATCGCTCCTAGTAACTAGCAATAAGTTACCGAACGTACACCTCTTATCCGAGTTTTGCTCGAGCATATAATTTGTGCCTCGTGTCGCAGCTGAATTTGCATTCAACTTCCACTGTACGAGCATCTGCTATTTGATTTATGTATCAAATCCAAACGTTACGTAATAAACACTGTACAAAAAAAAATGTGAGCGAGTAAATAAATAATCGCGTACAGTTTCATTCGCATAAATGCAATTTGGAAGAGTACAGAGATCGAGTGAATTCGTTGTTTATTATTGTTGTCGACGTTTCGATTTAAAAAAGAAATGGAATTACAATTCCGATGTTCCAATGGGAAATGTGAAAATGTTAAAACGAAATTCCATCGAATTGACGTTTATATTAAAAGCACGTCCAATCAATAGATTTTATTATTGCCAAATGTTTATCAAATTGTGAAATGTGCGAAATTGTTGAAATTTCATTTAAAATAATATTTGTATGTGGATACACATATTTCGTTATTTATTTTTAAATTAAAACGTAAACTAATTGAGTTTTCTTTCAATTATTACATTTTTTTTACATTTGTTTATATATTATTGACTGAATTTAAAATTAATGAAACTTAATTATTAAATTAGTATATGTTATTATACAAAAATTGCATAATTTTCTTGAATTATTTTTTAATAATGTTCAGATAAACTTATTTAAAAAATATATTATTATATGTAAAAAATTATGATTATATAATTTTTACTTCAATTATATTTCAGTAATTATATAATAATATTTATAAAAACAACATAATCTACTTGAATCATTTCTTACAGAAAAGTTAAGAATCAAATTTACAATTATGTACAAATTGACTGCAAGTGTAATTATTACATATAGTAATGGAAATTAAAATAAAATTATTATTTTTTTGGAATTTTAATGAAAATTGATTGGAAAAATTTATTAAATCAATGTTTAAGAAAATTAATAAATTTTCCAGAATCAAACAAAATTATTATCCAGATAAATTGAAATATCCATATTCATTGAAGATATTTCGGAATGAACTAAAATTGGTAAAAAGCGAAACGGAAAATACAATTTAATCAAGAAATTCATCTTAATACGATTGAATATTTTTTTGAACACCAATCAATTTGAACAATTTAACACAATTATTCGTAATTAACATATAAATAATACAATTATGTACAAAAGTGGAATTAATGTACCAAAATAATGTAATTTTTCGTAAGTATATTCATTTCAAAACTGGATTTAGCAATCCAATGTTTAAAATTTAATGGTTTATAGTACCTTAATTCTTTGCTGACAGAGATTTTTCAACGGCTCTGTCTGAAAAAGATTAGTGGTTCCTCACTTTGAACTTAGTTTCGACAGTCTCCTTTGTAAATAATTGGGCGGATATATCCGCCGCTCGTCCAATGAGGACGGTGACACATACATTGTATAAAAGTGTGATTTCAGTAAAATACCTTTAACACTTTTGCGATATAAATTATTAAAAAGATGGTTTTGTCATGATACCACTAGAACTCAAAGAGTTAAGCTTAATTTGTAATTTCGAAGTTTCAAGGATTTTATCAAGTTTAACTAGTATTTTTCTTAATAACAAATAATAAACAAGATAAAGTCAATTAATGAGTTTTTTTTATTTACCAGAGTTGAAGGTAAAGGCTAAAATAATAGCAAATAATTGATAAAATAAACAATTGATCGAACTAATAATGTATATACATTTATCATTACGTGTATATACAAATAGGAAGCAAAAGCAACATAATAATCAGTAGAATTCAAATACCATTAGCCTAGTATAATAATCAAACAAATCGTTTGATCTGTTTAGATTGTGGGAGAATTGTTACGATATGCTTTATTATTCAGATATTTCGATTGATTTCATGTTAGTCTCCATTCACAAAATTTGTATAATAATATAAATTACATAAGACATTTATTATCGATTAACTTTTTATATTTTTAATCTAAATATTTTCATTTTTTTGTACTTTGGATATTATTTTTCAAGTTTATGCTAGCATTAGAAATTTGATTTTAAATACATAAACTTTTAAGGTTTCCAATGTTTTTTTTTTAAATAGAAATATTTCATTGAATTATTTCATTTTTATACGTAAATTATAGAAATGATTAAGCATTATCTGAGACAAGAATAAATATAATAAGAAATGGAATTTTTTTGAAAAATTACCCATTTTGCACTAGTAATACAAATTCTAATACGTAATTCTACTTTTAGATATTCAGAACTAAATTGAAGCTAAAATGGTTAAGTAAAGTCGACGAAAACCGTTAGTTAAATTGAAGTTAAAATGTTGTCATGAAAATGAAACTGATAAAACTACATCGAATGTAAATGTTCATACGACTGATGAAAAATTGCATTTTCTAGTTTAATTTAATCTTCATTCTGAATACATTTTTATATTACTCTCATACTCTTATACAACGTTTACTTTGAGAAATTGGATTTTAGATTCAAAACTTCTGAAACTTTTCAATGTCTTCTTAATAGAAATATTTCATTGTTTTCATTGAAATAGTATTTCATTGAAATGATTAAGAATAAATTGAGACAAAATTAAATATAATACAAAAAGGAACTTCTTTGAAAATTTACACATATTGCAGTATTATTACAAATTCCAATAGAAAATTCTTCTTTTAGATATTCAAAACGTTTGATAATAAAATATTTCAAAACATATGAAACTGATTAAACTACATTTTCTAAATATTCATACGACTGATGAAAAATTTCAATTTTTAGTTATTCCACTCTTAAACTTTTCAATGTTTTCTTTTCATAGAAATATTCCAGTGGATTATTCCATTTTGTATACCTAAATTAGAGAAATGATTAAAAATAATATGATTAGATTAAATATAATACGAAAAGGAACTTCTGTAAAAATACTAATTTTGCTCTAATTTTACAAATTCTAGTACATACTTAATTCTTCATTTAGATATTCAGAAACAAATTTCAGTAAAAGTATTTGTTGGATTATTCCATTTATTATATAATATAAATGGGCAAAACTAACTAAACACTAATTAAATTCTAAAATAAGATTTTTTTAAATAATTTAGTACTAATATAATTAAAAAATGAATACACACAAAAATAGAAAATTATAGAAAAAATGAAAAAATCTAGATTTTTATAATATGTTTATTTGTATTGAAAACTGTATTATCTTATTAATGTATAAAATCATTATGTAAAACAACAATAATAACTAAAATAGAATAGACTTTTTGTTAATTAATTATTTTAATGTAAAAACTTGTATGTAATTCAATGTATAGAAAATGTAGCAATTTTTATGTTCTATCTATATAAAAAATCAGAATATTATTTTTTTATTCAATAAAAATAATGTAATTTCTGTAATTATTAAAATATATATTTTATATAACTTTCAATATTGTCTTTAATCTATAATGAAAAATAAAATTCGAGTAAAAAAGAAACTTTTGCTGCACACGGGATTTCTTTTCATTAAAAAAAACTTCTATTTTATTTAATTACAGCGGACAACACAAAAGCATTTCATTTTCCAATTTAAAAGATGCTTCCCGTTCATCAAATTAATTAGAGCCACGAGATGGCGAGAATAAAAGGATTATTAAATAGAGTGAGTGCTGATGTCCTTGCATGTTCGCGTCTTGTATAGTGTATACAGTTTTTTTTTCTTCCCTCTTGTCTTCTTATTTTTATTTTCCTATCCTCGGGAAATACCCTTTTCCATCCTCGGGAAAATTTCGTCTTACGCCTTTTTATTGAGATTGGGTTTTTATCTCTCATCGTATTTCTCTCACCAAAACCGCACACGTGGCTTTTCCGTGCGCAACGATTGAAATTAGTTTTATGATGCAAGTTCGGATATTGTTTAGAATATTTCGATACATCTATGGGATTACGTTAACAAATGATTGATGTAAAAGTGTTTTGCGTATCTGCATTCGATCAAATACATTTATTGAAAATACTCATTTTCTTTTGATATTATTCCAAGAAACATATTTTTTTTTATTTACTTAAAAAAAAGTATACAGTAGAACCTCGGTTAACGATTATAAATCGGTTCCCGAACAGAAATACAAAACCAAAACAATATTTGCTACGGTTCCCAAACATAATTTCAATTATCATACAGACAAATGTATAAAAATAAGTATTTTGTTTATTAATTAAACTGTAATTTATTGAAAAACAATACAAATTCCATTCCTGAACAGAAAACCAAAACATTATGTGCCTCGGTTCCCGAACATAATTTCAATTACCATAGTGACAAATGTATAGAAATAAGTATTTGTTAGTAATTAAACTGTAATTTATTATTTGAAAAACAATAAAAATTCGGTTCCCGAACAGAAATACAAAATCAAAGCATTATTTGGCTCGCTTCCCACACATAATTTCAATTACCATAGTGACAAATGTATAAAAATAAGTATTTGTTATTAATTAAACTAATTTATTATTTGAAAAATAATAAAAAATCGGTTCCCGAACAGAAATACAAAATCCAAGCATTATTTACCTCGCTTCCCGAATATAATTTCAATTACCATACAGACAAATGTATAGAAATAAGTATTTGTTATTATTAAACTGTAATTTATTATTTGAAAAACAATAAAAATTCGGTTCCCGAACAGAAATACAAAACCAAAGCATTATTTGCCTCGATTCCCGAACATAATTTCAATTACCATATGGACAAATGTATAGAAATAAGTATTTTTTATTAATTAAACTGTAATTTATTATTTGATAATTCTTCAAAAATTCTACAAAAAAGTCTATTTTTTATTATTTCACATTGAATATTTTGTAATTTATAACGAAATTATAGTTATTATTACGTAAATATTGTATTTTGTTAGAAAACTAAAATATTATTCTTTTTTATAAAATGAAATTATTAAAAAAATATTAAATTTTTTAAATAAATATTTCACATTTTTTGTTGCCTCTCAGATATAGAGAAATGATATTTTCGCGCTGGGAAGATTTATATCTCAATTTGGAGGTGCTGTCAGCTCGGGTATGTAATAAAAATGAAAGATATATCATATATCATGAAGTTGGAAAGGGTGTGCATTTAAAATTGGGATGGGGTTGGAAAAAAAAGAAGAGAAGGATTTTTGATTCATTTCGTCTGTCTGCCGCTGACGACGGCACTTTTATGAAGGCTTCCTGCAATTCAACTAATTTATGGAGACACTCTTACCTACGAACCACGGGTTGCGCTTGTTATTCTCGACGTTCAGCCCGAGGAAGTACTCCTCGAAACCGATGACTGGATTGGCCTGAGGTTGTACAGAAAGTGTACCCTCAACCTCTGCTTCGTTCCCATCGGAAACCAAGTTTCGGGCGCTCCAACCGTCGGATCCTATCCAGGAAAAGCTGCCGGTTGCGTTACTCCTTCTAACGGCTCTCATCACTCCTGCCACCTCTTGATCAGATCCGAATACGATTGCACCTTTAAACAAAGAAAATCATATTTATTAAAAAACACTTGATTTTTTCTATTTAAACATAGTTTTATTAATATACTTTATACTAAAATGTATAGTAGATCTTTTAGTATATGTTGATATATTTTTACTGAGTAAATTTACAAGAAAAAAATATAAGAGAAAAAACATCACAAACTGTAACTTTTTTACGTATATTTTCTCATACTTTCTCATTAAACCTTTACGTGGTTGCATTATATAAAGTGTCTCCCCTACTAGCTACATATTTTTGTCAAAATAGTATATATTCGTCTATAAATTTGTTTCATTTACAATATTGTAAATAGCACATCCCTTCTCTATTACTAGAAACCATGTAAATTCATGATGCAAATATATTCGTCATAAGCGTTACGCAATTCAATGACGAATATATACGTCATAACCACATAAGGATGCCGCATCAATATTATAAGAAGAAAGAATATTTAACAAAAACGAAAACAATTTTTATAATTATGGCAATTATGTTTTATTATACATGACTGTAAAGTAGTAACTGAAATATTCAGAGACGTAAAATGCGCAATCTAAAAATGTAACATGTTATAAAATCTGACATATGTTTGATGTAGGTTTTTGAAATGTACGTCAACCTTTTGTCTTATGTATTTTTGATCTATTTAATATTTGTATATACATACTTGCATTACTATTTAATTTATTTCTCGTTTGATTTTAAAAATTTGTATGAAATTATTGGAAATCTTATATACAAAATAAATAAATAAAATTTGAAATAATTGTAAAAATCTGTTTTTTATATAACATTAATTTTATTAGTTTAACACATTTGTATTATTATTTTATTGCTTTCTTTTTTTGAATAATTTTATACTTGAACTTTTAAAGTTTTGACAAATTGTTAAATAAAATTTACACAATAAATCAAGATTTTTTTTTTCAATTTATTTATTTTATTGTTTTATTACAATTTTTTTTATCAATTTCATCAATTTTTTTATATGAACTTTTTGAAAATTATATAAAAAAAACTTCAGAATGAAATAAAGGTGACTGTTTAATAAATATTTACTTAAAATAACAAAAAAAAAACATTTTTTAAGTATAATAACATAAATAATGTATAAAAAATCTACAAAACATAACTTGTTCATACAGCATGTAATATTGAAATTATGTGTTAAATGATTTTAAGTTAAATAATGGTCAGGACAAGTTCAGAAGGCAAGTGTCGATCGATATTTTGTATACGCTTGATTTATTCTCCCAATATAATGTGAACAACGCACTGGGGAAACGGTAATAGGTGGCCTTAATGGACGGAACGATTTATAAGAAAATCTTTTATTTTTCTGTTGGTAAGCATTTAATTTTTTTATTGATTGCCGGAGAGGAAAGAAAACGATCAGGCAGAAGTCAAGAAAGGTAAGGAAATTGCGTCGCTCGAAATTTTTGGGTCGTAGGTCGAGATAAGCCTTTAGAAAGGACGAGGAGTGTAGCCTTTATATGGACAAAGTAATCTGGAGAAGGGTTTGCAGCACTTAGGAGCTTTTACGGCTCCAGAACAATTTGTTTGAGACTCGAGCTGATGGCCACCTGACACCACAATTAGAGTTTAAGGTAATTTGAAGAAACAAACAAGGTTGATGAAAGAATAAATGAGTTAGTATATAGGTGAGTACTCACTAAATAATAGTAATATATACTCATTCATTTATTGAATGGATACATCCGTTTTTATTATGGTAGTAGTAAGTATTTTATGAATAAAACTAAAGTCTACCATCAATCTAGATTAAAGGAACTTAATTTGAACGTTAAAGAAGTAAAATACAATTATTGAATAATCTTTATTACAACTATAAAAGTTTTTCATTCAAAAACAATAGTATTAAAGTAAAAAGTTATCTGCTATTAAACATAGATCTTTTTTCCCCTTTAATTCGTAAAAAATTGAGATGTTTATAACTTTTCTATAACCTTCAGGATTGTTATCCTGAAAAAAGCAAGGAAATAAAACTGATGTATGTGAGGGTGGATAGCTTAAGGGCGAAGGTCCTTCCGGTCAATTGATAGACAATAGCGATTTATATCATATTGTGCGGGCAATTTGTTATGACCCTGCTCTTGTTAAGTCTAATAAAATACACAAATAAATCTCCTGTCTTTTTCAATGTTAAATAGTTAACCAGGAAAAATCCTATAAGATTTGATAGTATTATAGCAGTAGATTCAGATTAAAACTTAATTCTATTTTAATAATAGAAAAATCATTATAAAATAGTTAATACAATGCGCCAATTTTTTTTTGGATGATATCGTGAGGAAAATTCTCGTATAACACGATTACCTATAAAGCGATTTTATACAACGCTTTATACTGGAATCTAATACATTCTTTTAACAATATAGATTCAAAGTGGATTTTAAAGTTAAAGTTGAAGTTTTCATTAAAATTATTATTTAATGTAATAAACTGAAGAAAAATAAAAAACTATATTTTTTTGTATTTTGTTCTCATAAGGAAAACTGTATTAATTCTTTTATAGAATGCAAAGTACTAGTGGCACTTTACTAACAAAACTAATTTTAAAATTCAAAATATTCAAAACATCTTTCGGCTATTCTATCATTCATCTGTGTATTTTTAACATAAATCTTCCAGTTACTTCCTTCTTCCTTTTTAGCCTTTCTACTCTAACTCTAGCCCCTCTGGAAACGCAGTAAAAGATATAAAAAAGATTTAAAAAAAAATCTTTATCCTCTCGTCTCTATTTTTCTCCACGTACCTGTTATGCGCGCTTTAGGTATTACTTTCATTGCACATGTAACCCACATCTTTATATTCTTTCGACGCTTTCATCATATTTTCTGTTCACTATACATTTTTTATATTTCTAGATTTTTATTATCTCCTCATCCGTTTTTCATCAATTTTTTGATATTTAATTTCAATTTATTAATTATTAAGAAAAAAAACGTTATTTAATGTCTTCTTCTTCTTCCTACCCCCTTCACTTGGCTTCCGCATTACGCGCCAATAAGCCAGCCACTGTCTACATTCGGAACACAAAATAACTTATTCTTCGGATTACTTCTTCCGCCCAAATACTTAAATTAACCAGCTTCTCCCAATGAACCAAAACTTCCAACGCAACTAAAAAATAACTATTAAATCAAACTAAACTAACTTCTATAAAATATGTACGTAGGAGAGATACGGCAAGACAGGTAAAAACAAGAAATGTAAAGGATCGAAAATTATTTAATGTCAAAACATAATTACCACGCCATCTATTGGAGAAACAAGCAATTATTTAATGATACACATAAATTAGTATCTATTTTTTTTTGGAACAAAACAAATATTTTAAATTTGTTCGTACAAACGTACTCGAAGTTTATTCCAATGTACATAAGGTTCATACGAACCTACACTTTAACGTTCTATAGAAATATATTCATTTTTATTTTAGTTAAAGAATTGTACAATATATTTTCTTCTAAATCATGTACGTAATATTGGACATAGGTTATTATTTTGTAAGAAATATGCAAGACTTGTATATTTATTAATAGAATTTAGATCTATTTTTCTAGTGTTTTCCATTTTATTACAATAAAGCCTTGCATAGTGCGGCTTCGATCAGTGCGTATTGAAAATGTATACGCAAATGATCGGTTTTTCTTCTATACCAGTGATTTCCAAATTTATTTTTTTAAATTTTAATAGCAATTAAACAGAAAGATATATGTATTAAATGCAAATGCAAGCGCACATTTTGGGAATAACTGTTGTATACAGTTGTATACAGTATACACTTTGTACTGTTCATTTTTATGTGGTTTTGTTGGAACTATTAAATTAATTTATAATATTGAAGAATTTATTTTATAACTTACAAAAAAAAATCGCCATAACTTCTACCGGACTAAGAAGAAATTGTGTAAATATACAAGAATTACTTGTTTATTTTTTTCATATTAATTAGAAGGTATACAAAGACTGTTGTGTACTTTAATAAAATGTGCATGAAAATTCCCTAATGCGCTTTGTAATTTGAAGACACGAAGGTCTAAACTGTCATCTTCCGCCACGCTATTTCTATAGAATCAAGGGACAACAAACGCAAACTTTGCGCTGCATATAATAACAGTTATAACGACAAAGACTACCTTTATGGCGTAATATTAAGTAATAGCCGTTGAAAACATTGTGCTAGTATAAACCGTCACCCTTCAACTTTTCACCGTGAATAACTACTATTAAGTTGACTGCGTACATAAACATTTTTATTTTCCTTGCATTATATTATATAGTAAACGTTATACATTTAATCACTACTTACTTAAATACAATCAAATAAGGATTGATAATATGCTAAGAGGATTTTATCCAAAATCTAATAAATATGATATAGAAAATTTTAATTAAATATCTAATTATAAAAAATTTCTTTGATTAAATAAAATTGTGTTATTATTTATTATATATAAGAAAATATAGCATATTTTTCAAGAGATTTTTGGAGATTTACAAAGTTCTTGAAATATTTTGTTTTGTTATTTTCTAAATATCATAATTATAACTAAAAACCTGGAATTTTGTCCATTAACTAAAATAAGTCAATTAATATGTTTTTATACAAAAATAAATGTTTATTATAAAATTGATATAACATAGAGATATTTGAAAATTCAAATTATTTTCTTTATCTTTCTTGTTCAAAACTCGAATAAACTAATTCCTAAGCTGAACATTATTCTTTTCTCTATATCAATTCCAATAAAAAGGAATGATTGAAATCATTTCTTATTCTCTTTTCCGCTTTTTCGTTTTCGCTTAAGGTTTTATCCGCATTATGTTCTCCCTCCTTCAAAAGAAAAAAAATCGTTCCGTTTTCACATTCTCAATATTGTATATTTCACTGGCATTCACATCACATATTCCCTTTTTGCTTGTATTTCCCACCGCTCGACGGTCGCATTTCTTTTATTG